GATACAGCTGTTCTCTGATCAGCTTTTATGGAAATCGCTTCCAATTTTATCGGTTCGTGCTCCCGAGAGCATCAGAAGATCTACCAAGAATGGTTTGATTACGCCGACTCCGGTGTGTGCGCGTTTCTTTCTTCTTTTTCTTTCAGTTGTTTTGATTTACTGCTGCTCTCTGTCTGATTCCTTGAAAGAGTTCATTCGATGTTGAATTCTTATTTTCTTATTTTTTGGTTTAATTTCAGATGGAGACGGGCGTATTACCGGGAATGATGCTATTAAGTTCTTTTCCATGTCCGCATTGCCCCGGCAAGATCTCAAGCAGGTTGCCTCCCTCCATTTCTTTACCCTTTCCATTTCCACATTTCGGTTTTGGTTCTCTCTTTTCGGTGTTTTCTTTCGTTGCTGATCGTTGATAAATCTTGAATATTACGACAGGATAAGCCAAATTGAATTACATTTTGAAAATTCTGCTTTATTTCTTATGCTCTATAACTTACCGTTGCTCCTCGTTCKGATAAACAACATTACGTGAAAATTTTGATTTAGTGTGACGATCACGTGAACTTGAGGATAAAAGATGTCTAATTTTGTCTTTACTTTTCATTTTCTTCGTTATGACGAKGATTTCCTGTATAATATTTTGTTCAAAGGTGTGGGCAATTGCAGATTCTAAGCGGGAAGGATATCTTGGTTTCAAAGAGTTTATTACTGCTATGCAGGTTGTAGTTAGAATTTGGAGTATGTAGATTCAAAATGTTCACTTATATTCTAAAGTAATACACTTCTTTTGTGATTAGCTTGTTTCTTTGGCGCAATCTGGAGGGGAAGTAAGTCATGATGTATTGAGTTCAAACAGCGGAGGTCAGTTTTCAACCCTGTATACATAACATATTGTTTAGACTTTACTGTCTTGTCGCAGTTATAACTTATACCCTCATATTAATTAAGCCAACAGTTGCAGAAGTTTCAAATTGTTGGYGACTTTTCACTGTTGTTCAATTTACTATGCTTTTTGTCTTACAATTTTAGGCTTTTTGATTTGGAGTCATTGCTAATATGTATTGCAGTTGATTTGAAGGGTTTGAATCCTCCTAAAATGGAGGGTCTGGATGCCATATTAGCTGTGAGTATTCTTCTGCTATAGTCTAAATGAATTGTTAAAAGAACTAATTAACTTTTGATTAAAGTTTTTAAAGTTACTAGTGAATTAGCATTATATTAAAATAATTTTTTTATTCATATTATTCCATTATTTGTTTCTTTTTGGGGGGAGGGGCCGATTAAAGTGAAGTATTTGATGGCTCTCCAGAGCTAAGTGAATTAAAAGAGTAATTACAAAAATGATGCGAAGAACCCCAGGACCTGAAGAAACGAGTAGTAGCACATTCCACGACTGACTAATCATCTAGAGATATTTCCTCCCTTGAAAAACTTCCCATTCTTTTCTAGCCACATGTCCCAAAAAAACACTTGAAATGTAAACCAGTATACTATTGCTTGATTTTTAGAAGACTGACCATTGAGACTTCTCCAAAGGAAATTCAGAAGTTTCCTAGGGAGCTAGGGGGGAATCAGAAGGGAAGCCATGAAAATATCTAAAGCTTCTGCCAAATATTAAGACAACCTCAAGAAGAGACACCCYGTGTTTATACATTCTGTCCACCCAAAACACAGCCACTAGGCTGCCAGCACGAATGAGTGTCAAGGCTCTTAGCCAAGGGAAGACAAAAAGAAATGTTTTTCTTGTGTAATCTGCTTCTAAATCCTATGACAACTGGCATGAGGATCCATTGCATTTTGAAGTAGATGACCCTTCGAACAACATTCTT